ACTCTGAACCTACAGGGTCAGGCCTGGAGGTGTGAGGAATCCACTACGGCCTGTCAGTTCACAGAACCTTTCCTGCAAGCAGGCTTGAACAAAAAGGGACTGTAATGTGGAGAAGGGCTCAGAGGCAAGAAGTAGAGCTAAGGAATGCTGGGGAAACCAGAGTCTTTCTAACATGTTGGCCAAAGGCCTGACCATGGACTAAACACCTGGAGCCTAGAAGCTGAAAGCAAGCAGAGGGTCCAGGCTTACCACCCTCCTTGGACGAGACCAGGATCCTCTGGCCGAATCGCTGGCACAGAGGAGTTTCAGAATTCAGAAATTTCTGTGTTTCAGGAAGATGTTAGAATGATCAAAACACATTCCATAGCACCCCTAGCATTTTGTGAAAGAAAGGGGGGTTACCATACTCCCCACTCCAGCAGCCCAAAATATATAAATATGTACAGGAAGTAGGAGTCAGACTATCAGAAGCATATCAACTTAAGCCCAGTTATGTCACCAAGAGTTTATACCACACTGAAGAAAAATATATGTCAGAGCTTTTGAGACTGTCAGTGGGAATAGGTTATTGAAAGGATACATCTGCAAGTGAGAGATCCAGAGGTCCACATGGCCACTAGTTCTGTGTGAGCCAGCACACACCTACCGAGCCCCTGCTTTGTTTGAGGCAGCAAGCTGGGTGCTGAGGTTACAGGCATTTAGTTTCCTAAAGTCGTGTTAACAAAGTACAACCAAGTGAGAGGCTTACAGCAGCAGAATCTTACTGCCTCCATTTTAGAAGTTAAACTCCCATCCAGAGCAAACGTGCCAGGCTCCCTTGCATTGTCCAGCTCCTGGGATCTGCTGGCAGTTCCTGGAACTCCATGCTTGCACTTGCATCACTCCAATCTCTGCCTCTGCCATCACATGGAATCCTCCCCGTGTGTCCCTCTTCTTAGAAGGATACGATGACATTGGATGAAGAGTGTACCCTATTCTGGTGCCATGGTTTAAATGTGAAATGTCCGCAGCAGGCTTACTTGGTCCCCAGTGGGTATGTGGTTTTAGAAGATTGTGTAACCTTTCAGACATAGCACCACTAAAGGTGTGCCTTAAAGATTATAGTCCATCCCTGCTTCTGGTCCCAGCTCTGCCTCCTGTCTGCTGCTGAGATGAAAGACCCCAGCTGCATGTTCACACTGCCGTGAACTCCGCCATGCCTTCCTTCCCTGTCACGATGGACCGCATGCCCTGAATGAGTGAGCTGAAAGAAATCCTCTCCCCTTAATCTACTTCTGTCAGGTCTTCAGTTGTGGCAATGAGAGAGGTGACTACTGCATCTAATGTGGCCACCTGAAGACACATTGCACTGTGTCTGCAATGACCCTTTTCCATGGACTATCGTATTCTGAGACACCATGGGATAGAATTCCAACATACCTTTTGAGGGAACACAAACCAACATATAGAGCAGCTGACAAACCAAAGTTCACATGGCTACACACCCTATTCAAGACAACAGCTGAGCTGAGGTAGTCAGATTATGATAAGGATGTCGAGCATTTCCACAGGAAAGTAGAAAGACAGCACGTGGAAGCCATTTACCCAGCTGAAGAAGTCATATTGGAAATGGGGGTGAAGAGACGAGCAAAGGGCACCCAAAAAGAGGGGGAGGAAGCGGTAACGCCCAGAGCACAGCTCTGACCTCCTCAGCCCTGGGTTTAGGCCAGGCTGGGCCTAGAACCACAGGGGAGTCCTGGTAGTGTCCCCCACGCTGACAGCCATGGTTAATCTTGCCCCAGCTGGCTTCCACTGGGGGAAGTCCTTCTCTTGGGAATGACCAAAGGCACAATATGCAGAGAGGCAGCTATCAGTAGCCTGCCAGATCCACAGCCCACAGCTGCAGCCCCCATGTGGAAGAAAAGCAAAGGAGAGCCTCCACGGCCCCATTTGGAACCTAAGTTGATTAAAACAGTTTGGACCCAGAATCAGTCAAGTACTTACTACCCAGATAGCTTGTGCTGACCTCCTTCCTGGAGAAGATATAATGTCCTCTATCAGGGTCAGCAGATAGGTCTGTTTATGAGTTTCTCTGAGCAATGTTCAAATGGCCTCATAGCTGCCAAAACGCCTCTGCTTCAAAGACCTAGTGGCCGAATTTCTGCCAGAGGTGGGGCTGGCTGGGGGAGTGAGGGTGCAAAGCTTGGGCCTGACAAACTTAACCCTGGGATAGCCCTGACTCTGGAGGCAACTCTATGAGACACGCAGAGAGTAGAATTTGTTTTTGTGTTTTAGCATTTCACTTGAAGACGGGAGGGAAGAAGTGCCTTTTTCTGAAACAGTACACGCATCCCACGTGCACAATCCCACACGCGTGGGAAAGGTGCACAAATCCCACGTGTGTGGTTTGGGTCAGTGAACTTTTTCACCAAGTGGAGACAAACCCAGCGCTGAGCTATATATATGGTCTCTTCCATCCAGAAGATCCACACTCTCTTCTAGTTCCTACACACCAAAGATAACCACCATCTTGACTTTGAATGGCACAGACTTGTTTGGGGTTTTGAGCTTATATAAATGAAATGAAGTTTTATGTTTGTGACTTCACTCATTCATTTTCATGTTTATGAGATTCAACTATGTTATCGCTTGTTACTTCAGTTTATTATTGTTGTTTCATGAATATATCATACTTTTATTTATTTGCCTGTGAACATTTATGTATTTCTCAGTCTGGGTTATTATGAATGGTGCTTCTATTAATACTATTGTTTACGTCATTTGAATGAACATATACACATTGGGGAGGACTAGATATTTGTATTATTTATTGCTGCTCAACAAATCCCTCCCCCTCAAAAAACCTATTAGCTTATAAGACTAAAAATTTGCCATCTCTGATGGTTTACCTGAGTAAGGAATTTAGAAGCAGCTTGTAGAGGCAGTTTTGGCTCAGATCTTTCCAGCTGGGACTGGGTGATGTGCTTTTAAGGTAGTTCTCATAAATGAGTGGTAAGATGGTGCTGGCAGTGGTGGTAGGCTGCAGCATCTTTCCTTAAGACTGTCCTCATGACATGGCGGCTGACTTCCAACCACCACAATGAACCATCAGCAAATGAAAACAACACTCTTGATGATGTGCCTCCTGTCATACAACATCACATCCACCCTGTTCTGCTCATGGGAAGGGAGCCACTAAGTCCAGGCCACACTCAAGAACCCAGCCTAGAAGAATGTATGGTAAGCAACATGTGCCTATATCTCAAAACCATATATTGTAAATCTTGGAACTGACCTTACTAAGGAACTTCTCTATAAATAAGAGAAGCTTATAGACATTCATATAGGCATCCACAAGAAGTATATCCAACCAGCCCCTTCTATTCATGTAAAGTTTTGTGAGACATTATACACAGTAGGAAATACAAAGACTTTGGATTCGAATATGCCTGAGTGTGCTTAGTCCTAGATTCACGACTTAATAGTCCTAGGTTGAGTAGTTCATCCTCTTCAGCGCTCAGATTCCACCAGCTGTAAAATGAGGAAAGCCAATGGCACCTAATCTTTAAAGGGGACCAGATAAGATAGGTTTATACACTTATGCCATCTGTGATGTTAACTTATGAGGAATTTATTAGCCATTTACATTAACTACCTAGAAGGAGCTCTAGTGAACACTATGAGTGGCACAAACCTGGCTCCAACACGGGCCCTACCTAAGGAGGTTGATGCCACAGTAGGGCCCTTAAAAGGTAGAACAACTATAATCCAACCGGGAAAATGATCAGTGTGAACGCTGTCTTTTAAACACAGATCAAATTTAAACACGTAATATAAATAGAAGAAATTTTGAAAGTGAAATAAAAAGGAAAATATTCCAGGATCTGGGCACAGCTTGCACAAAGATGACGCTGAAAGCCATAGGGAAGGGAATAAACAGGAATAGCAATGGAATGTGCTATAGATATGGCTCATCATGGAACTGATGATGCTAGTGAGGAAGGGACAGAAGGTTAGGGAAAGACAGGAGCGTATGCTGCGTTTTACAGTACAATGAAAATCATTAAGACCAAAGACTTTTAAACTAGTTTTCTGTACTTACTGGAAAAGCTAGGCAGGCCTCGCTACAGAAGAGTGTTCTACCATGCCTGACTGAGCTGACTCCCATTTATAGAACCATTGTGTCTCAGAGTATAAACAGAACTTCTAAAACTTACCATTAGAGAATATTTCTTAGTCAGTCCAAACAACTGAGATTTGTCCTTACTATTTATGTTGTGAAGGTTTCATCAACAAGGAAATGTAGTGGGCTGTTTTTACAGGCCCTTAGCTCACTATAAACCTCAAGACGTGGCCATTTGGAACCCGCCATTTGTACACTCAGCTCTCCTGTGTGTTTGACTTCTATGTCCAGATAATGAGCCACTCACCCCACTTATTTCCTTCAAAAAGACTGATCTATTTAGCAGCCTCCACTCCTGTTACATTATCCAGTCTCAGGCAGTGATGATATTTAAACATAAGACAGAGACATCTCTGTACTATGATGGAAGTTTGAAGAAGTTGAAGCCAATGACCTTTCACTCTGAAGCCAAAAAATAACAAGCACAAATTTTTTAGTCTCACTTACAGTGGGGCCTGGAGAACTGAGCAGAAAACTTCTTTTGGCCTTTCTGTCCATTATTCAAAATATGATACCAAATCTTCTATGTACACAACTGATGCTTCCTCATCTAGCGTACCCCCTGGTTTTGATGACGTTTGGACATTCCATCAATATAGACACAGTTCCAACCGTGACTGGTGATTTCGTAATAAACATGCACAGTTTTATTTTATCCCTCTTTGCTTTATTCTGATTTAATTCCAAAAGCATGAAATGGAGGGTTCTAAGGTTAGGGACGAAATCCCTAGCCGATCACCTGCTAGAACTTCCCCATTTGCAGTGAGGGGCTTTGACTTCCTGTGAAGTGTCTACACAGGAACTAAACCAGTGTTCTCCCTGTCTGATTTCTTCTCAGGTGGGAAGTTGGCAAGTGGAGCCCGTGTAGCCTCACCTGTGGGGTCGGCCTGCAGACCAGAGATGTTTTTTGCTCCCACCTACTTTCTAGAGAGATGAATGAGATGGTCATCCTGGCCGATGAGCTGTGTCGCCACCCCAAGCCCAGCACGGTGCAGGCCTGTAATCGCTTCAACTGTGCTCCAGCCTGGTACCCTGCACAGTGGCAGCAGGTGAGTCCTGAAGTTACTTCCAATTGCAGTTTTCATTTGCATCAGTGATTAAAGACGAGAGGCGTGCTCTGAGGTTAGCTTTGCCCATTGAATGAATGTTCAAGGTCTGCTATCTCTCCCTTCTTAGTTCTCCAAACTTACTCCAATCTGGATCTTTTAATTATACATAGCATGTTCTTTCTGCTGTGCCAAACCCCAATAATGGTACTGTAAACTATCCTTCTGTTAACCTGAGCATATTCCTGACAAAGTTGTCATTAAGCAAGAAAACATTTGTACATAAAGACAATATAGTGGGTTTTCCATAAAGCTAAACTTATCTGAATTTATGCCCGTTTTAGTCTGCTATTTAAAATTCTAAGAAATCAGGGTAATAAGTAAAATAAGGGGGGTATTTTTATTTTCCTTCATTTTTGAGAATTTCATACATGTATACAATGAAATATGATATCTACCCCCATTTCTCCCCCTTCCCCCATGCCTCACTCCAAAAGACCCCCCAACTTCATGTCTTTTAAAAATATCTTAAGACATCATTGCTTAGTAAAAAGTTAGAAATTCTGAAAACTGAAACTCAAAAGCTAAGTCTAGCCTCCCATTATTTTTAATTATTTATTTTTATTTTATGTGTATGAGTGTTTGCCTGCATTATGTAAGTGTACCTGTGTCATGCAATGCCCACAGAGGCCAGAAGAAGGCCTTGGAACCCTTGGAACTGGAGTTACAGATGGTCATTAGTTGCCATGTAGGTGCTAGGAACTGAACCCAGGTCCTCTGGAAAAGCAGCCAGTGCTCTTAATCACTGAGCCATCTCTCCAACCCCTTCCCATATTTTTTATAAATAAAGTTTTATTGATGTACAGCCACACCCATCCTTTTTACATATTGCCTGTGGTTGCTTTTGCACTATGAGAGCAGAATTACGTGGCTGTGGCAGAGACCATATAGCTCACAAAACCTGAACTATTTGCTATCAGTCCTTTTACAAAAAGATTCTTATCCCACACTAAAAATCTAACAATAAAATCACAACTACACTATCATAATATGCTATTAAAATTAATGTGGCTGTCTCAAAATTTAAATAACCTTTTGGCATGCCTCTAAGGAACACAGATTTTTAAATGGATTGTTTGGATAAAATCTTATATTGCAATTTGTTCCTCATTAGAGCACCAGGCATAACTTTAAAGTGACAACAGTGGTCACAGAAGTAAACCTGAAATTAGGAAGGGATGAGCATCCTTGTTTGAGCCAGTTGTAAACTCTAAAAGTGTCCCAATTTGGATGATAAACTTTATACTCATCCGACTGGGGCGAGCAGCTAGCAGCTTGCACACTCCTGCCTCACTGCTGAGAGCCCAGCTGCCAGTTTCAAGCAGCCAAAGTCCTCCATGATTTCCTTCTCCCTGTCCATCCTTGGGACAGGGGTTTGGTAAAGAATCAAACAGTAGTAAGTAGTGAGTGAGCACACACTACAGTAGGATCAACACTCAGTATCTTTAGATTTCACATCCACGGACGGATTCAACCATGCACTATTTAGTTAGACCTGTAATGGGTACATAGATACTGAACATGAATAAACTTTTTTCTTTATTTGCTAAGCAATATATAGGATTTATATTTTATTTAGTATTATAAGTAATCTAGAAATTATTTAAACTATGCAGGAGGAGGTACATAGCATATATACAAATACTGTATCATTTTATATTCAGATGTAAGCATTCATGAATTTGGGATCCTGGAATCAAATCTGAGGAGCACCATAGAACCAGTCCCTTTCAGATACTGAGGGGGCAACTAAATGAAACAATTCAAAACAGACATTGACTATAATTTTTCTTTAAAAGCTTTTGTTTGTAAAAGCTTTAAAAGTGTTATGGCTATGTTCATCAAATTCATGCTACTATGTGATGGTATGTGAAAGGCAAATGAATGTAATATTCTTTGAAAAGCTGTGAACAGTGTTTAACTTAGAAATATACATCATTCTGCACTTACTTGAAGTTAATTCTCACAATAATCTGGTGAAAATAGATTTTATCAACCCCATTTTAGGTTTGAGGAAACTGGAGATTATACTAGTTACAAATTAAGGGATGGCCATAACCTCACTTCTGTGAACTTTTCCACTATAGCAAGCCTCATGGTTGTATGAGCAGTTTATGAGAACCCTTGATTCATGAATGATGTAACTATGGCCTAGAAGTGGCCTTGCTTAAAGTCATGCATCCTGCACCACAGCCTAGGTCTTCTGATTTCCAGTGGGTTTGCAGTAACATGCTCCTAATTGGAGAAAATTGTTGATCTTAGGCTGCAGCAATGACCCAAGCCAACCCTGAGAAAGGCTGTGGAATCATCTCATTCAGTCTCCACTGTTCAGCTACTAAATCTCTATACTATTAGTAGCTTGTGTTGCCATTATCTATGGAGTACCTTGTGAATACAGTGTTTGTTCTATGACAACAGGAATGAGTATACACAGAGTACCTCCCCACAATCCCTGAAATTCTGACTTGTATCTGACTGATGTGTTTATTTGTGGTTATGGGTCATGATGTCCTTCCAGAGGCATTCAGGGAAACACTTCATCCTTCTCAATAGCCACATGCTGCTGAATCTTGACTCAGGATACTTTTCTAATTCTTAGCGCACATACATGACTTTTGTGGTCAACTGCTGTTATTACCAGTCTTACCCACAGAACGTTCTTTTTGACAGCAGATTGCCAAAGCAGGATTCATACGTTCATTTTCTTTTGTCCTGACCTATGAAAACATGAATTTATTTTGAAAGCTGTTTCCTTCCACCAGCAAGACTCTTAGGGATAAGAAAGGTTTACTCACATTTTTCAAGTCAGGAAACCAATACTAAACACCTTTATGAAGTTCTTCCAATGAGTCAGTGACTATACTTAAGTGTCTTTATGTGTAATTTTCAAAAATATTTGAACACAAGAAATAGAACTTGAAAACTACCCATGATTTGTGCCCTTCCGAAAGAGCCCCTGTTAATAGTTTGATACATGTGGTCTGTTTTAATGATCTTTGGTCACTCTTGGGCTCTCTTTAACCTTAGCAGAAATATGTATCTTTCATTACTTCCTACCATCTTTTTTAGTGAAACTTTGTTAGATAAAATCAACTATTACTTGCACGACACAGGTGCACTCACATACATGCAGGCAATACACTCATACACATAAAATAAAAATAATTTAAAAACTCAACTATTACTGACCACTTGTTAAAAGAATGGAAGTCATTGTTTTTGCTCAACATGAAATGAGTGATAGTCCTTAACATATTTGAGAGAATGCATAAAATCCAGCACAGGAGGAGGGCTATGAGGGGTGCAGATAGGGGAGGGGGTCTACATATGATTAAGATGTGTTGTATGAAATGCACAGCAATTCAATTAAAAAACTAAAACAAAATAAAATAAATGATTTTGTAAGTTCAGATGTTCCTGGACTAAAGACTGTAGTCTTAGGACACCATGAGTTAGGGTACCAGCTGTTGGTGACCCCTTTGCCTGATTAGCCCTGTGATTCTCCAACAGTCTTGGCTGGGACAAGGCAACATGGTTGTCCAGTCATCTTTCTGGGATGACTATGCTCTACCAGGGGCTCCAGTCATTCAGCACCCAGCCTACTGGCTATTCTCTTATGGAAGAACAAGAGATAAAAACCAATAAGCAACCTGATAAACAGCCCATTTGACTGGAGAAACTCTTCCACCTCTTGGCTTGATCCCAGGGTCACCACTGACCTCACACGTATGTTTCTTTTCCTAGAAAAGAAAAGCATTATAAGAATTGCATCTGCTAGATATTGGAATACAACATCCTTTGTTCTTTGTAGAACATTTTCTAACAACTGGAAAATAGCCAATATTTATATATTCTGCAGGTCTGAAGCACAACTCCAAGTATCTCTGTTAAAATTTTGTTTTATAAACAATTAAGCAGAAATCTAATTCTAGCTTTGGTTGTTAGGGACCTGTCTTTTATTAAGTAAACTATCTCTTGCTTTTTGATCTCTGGTCTTATGTGAAAAATTCTTTTAATGTTTATCATTATCAATTTAGCTTTAATATGTTGCTAGTTTGTATTTAGATGGTTTTTCTGATACTTAAATTTTCCTTGCATTAGTCACCTGTATCTTCTCTTACTAAATTCTTTTGTTTGTTTTTTGTTTGTCGTTGGCTATGAATAAATATTACAGGGGGATCAACTCACACTAGAGAGCTACAGCTCCATGACTGAGAGTCACTGGCATGTATTACAAGTTAGTCTGCAACATTTTGATCGTAACTATCTTGTTAGGATGATGTCCAGGAACTCTCCATACCAGTGGAGTGTGTCCATTTGAAAGTTTTATATATCTATGTAATGAATTTGTTTTTATCCCCTAGTCTACTCTCCCATCTCCCTCCCTCTTCTGCTGAAAACCTTCACAGGAAGTCCTGCAGAATTCACAGCATCTCAGGCACAGCGCCAAACACTTAACATGTTTACTCACATGGTCCTCACCTACCTGTGTGATGTGGGACCACAATGCAGTCCACCTTTCCCAAATGGCCTTTACTAGTTACTCTAAAAGATTAAATTGTGAGGAAATCTTAGAAAATAGCCTCAAAATCTTCAGAATTTGTACTGGTGTTCTATGGCTACTATAACAAGCTATCACATTTGGATGCCTTAAAACAACACAAATTCACTGCCTTATCACACTAGAGAGTAGACAGTAGAAATCAGTTTGCTGTCTAAAACCAAGGAGCCAGAAAAGCCTACTTTCTTCTGGGGACTCCAGGGCAGGGTCTATGCCTTTGTCTTCCCCAGCTTCTAGAGGATGCTTTCTTCCTTTCTCCTGTTCCCTTTGTCCATCCCCAGCCGCTGTCCTCACATCCTGCCTGACTGACCCTCCTATATCCCTCTTACAAGAACCATTGTGACTACCTCAATACACCTGGATATGCACGACCGCCTCCCCA